CGATCTGCTGTGGATTTTCCCGGTTCCGTGGGACAACCTCCTGTAACAAGGTTTGCAGTCGTTCACTCACCTCTGCCAACTGCCGTTCGATGTTACGTGTGGCTGTACGCTGCTCTTCGATTGCTCTCCAAACAGTTGGGAACCCCTGATCTCCATCACGGGGTGGGTTGTGACTGGTACCGTCTGGGTTGGACATGCCTGGGCGAATTCCCTGCTCTGATACCACCTGACGCAGCGTGGAAGCAATGAAAACTGGAGTTGGCTATGCAAGCATCGGGCGTTCGCTAGCACCTAATGAATAACATTGATTTCTCTAGGAGAGAGAAAAGGTGGCGAAAACTCAAAGAAGAGAAAAGAAAATCTAAAAATCTGAAGTATGAATTGTGTTCATTAACTGGAAAATAGCAGTATTTATAATACATCTGGAAATTGAAATTGTAAAAGAACTGGAAATTATAAAAGAACTGGAAATTATAAAAGAACTGGAAATTATAAAAGAACTGGAAAAGAACAACTAGGATAGATCAACATCTAATCTAGATAGGATCGAATTCCTCTTTGCCAGATCTCCACCGTCCGATCTCTCTAGATGCATGAATCTTGGGTTATCTTGCTAATCAAGATGCTTCTTGGAGTCTTTCTTGATAATCTTGGAAGTCTTGGAAGAGTCTTGCCTTATCTTGCTAATCTTGGAAGAGTCTTAATAATTTTGGATTCTTGGATCCCTTGCTTATCTTGGATTCTTATTTAACTTATCCTTATCCTAGGAGCTGCCGCCCCTAGGGATGAGATGGGCCTTGTGATGGGCCTCCATCATACTTGCTGAATATGGTACACGGCTTTAGCATTATCCTTCCTATTCTCCTTGTACTCCTTTTTGTGTTTCTATTTTACTTTTCTCTTGACATTTTGTTTTGTGTTACAAAATGTTTATAGATTACAACACATAAAGGGATTTTACTTTTATAAGTCTAGAATACTCAGCTCTTAAGTCCCAAAATAACCTACTAATATAACAGACAAAGCATTAAAGGAAATTTACAAAATTACCATTGTTAATTTTCAACAGGCTCCTTCCTCCACCCCCTGCAACTACTACTTCAATCCTCAGAACTCTACTTAGCACCTCCACCATCACCAATTTCGGAAAAATAGAGTTGGACGGGGACCTAACCAACAATGTTAGGTACCCAATCTCTTTCAAATTGAGATTTTTAGCATCCACCCCTACGAAGCCACCAATAGCATCACCCAATTCCTTAGGGCTATGTTTGGTTTAAAGGAAAATGTAGGGAAAGGAAGGAAAAGGTAGGGAAATCTTTACAATTAAACCTTATATTGGTTTCCCTGTCTTTCCCTTCCTTTCCCTACATTTTCCTTCAAACCAAACATGGGGTAAAAGACTTACAACACCAAGCATGCGAAGGAAGGCCAAAACACTACACCCACTAATGCTTATATCCACCTGACACATCTACTGCTTCAAAGTTCCAAGACCAGCACTTTAACCTCATTTTTCTACCTCTGAATCTAAGTAGGCTAAGAACTCGAACTCTAATAGCTTTCACATGAAATTCCAGGAAAAGTAGAAGACAATCGCAAGAGATTGAGGAACCTAACTACTGGTCTAGAATGATAGCCCCAAATTAAATTCTGGCTCCCCTAGAAACCCACCTTCAAACTCTACAACTACGCAGTTATTAAGGACTCCAGATCTCCTACCCACAAGAACTCTGCCCATCTCTATCCACAACACATTACTCCCAATGAATTGAGAATATCTCCCCCTACATAATACTATGCAGAGGATGAGATGTTCTTCATGTGTGACTAATAAACGTGGGCAGGAGATCCGGACTTGTTACTAAGCGCATCCTGCTGCTTTGGCACACCCAAACCACTGACAACTACTCTGACCTCATCATCAACCAAACTTAGCCATAATTTCACCTTTATCAAAAGGACCCTCGTAAATTTTGCATTGCACTTACTTTATTAAAAAAATAACTTTTACAACTTATTTTTGTACGATGTTTGTGAAATACAATATTAGAGTTGCATCCAATATTTTCTTTTTTTTTTTATTTTTTTCTATATTTTAAAATTTTATTATTTAACTATATATAACATTACGAGTTGACCCATTTGATCTAAATGGTATTTTAAATCCTTAAATGGTAGGATTTTTAGGTTGGTTTTGTCATTAATAAAAGTGCTTCTTATGTATCATACTTATTTTGTTTAATATAACAAATATATAATATTAGATATATACCCAATTTCTTTTTCTCTGTAATTCTTTATATTTTATTATTTTTTTTTATTTTTGTTTTATCATTAACTAACCCATTTAACCAATATGGTTGAATTACTTATCCATCATATGCAGAGAAATGGTTTTATTTAAAAATTAATTTATAAATTATAGTTTTTCATATTATTAAAATTATTATGTGTGAAATTAATTAAAGGAATTTAATGATGAAAAATAAATCTTAAATATAGGAGTTTACGAGAGAATGGGAGAAAATACCTTAAATATTGAACTTAATGAGAGGAGATAGAATGAATTGAAAAGTAGTATTCATCTTTTTTATAAAAGTATATAAATATAGACATAAAAACAAAGATTTTGGTTTTATATATATATATATACATATATATGTCATTGGCAATTTTTAGTATTTTGTTGTCCAAAATAATAACAAAAAAATAGAACAAAATAAATTCTCTTTTGTCAATTGATATATTGAAATTGGAAATTTTCTTCTCAAATTCCACCGATATGATTCTTAAGATCTAATTTTGCATATTTACGGATTTATAACAGATTCACCATCCAATAATGTGTAAGAACTTTTCCAATATCCAAGTAAGCTGCATTACCCATCGCCTACAGAAGAATCTCTTTCACAATAAATAATCGGAAAAATATATAGATAGAAAGATAGATAGAGGGGGGTGAGGTTATGGAGTTGGGCGTAGTGACCTTTCTTCTCGACGGATTGCGCTTGCTGGCAGGAGAAGTACACATGATACCAGGCATTCATGGACATATCGATAATCTCAGACTTGAATTAGAGAGCATTTACATGATCTTAAAGGAAGCTTATACAAGGCAACAGAGCAACACAAGCGTGAGTCCATGGATAAGAGCGGTTGGGCAACTAGCTTTCGAGATTGAAGATGTTATAGACAAGTACAAGCTTTATGCCGCTCGACAGTCTTCTAAGCCCTTGAGGAACCTGATATCTTTCCACTCTATAGGCAAACAAATAGAAGATATTCAGAAAAGAATCAATGACATCAGGCAAATAAGAGAAAGATACAGAGAAATCATTTCAAGTCAAGCCCAAGCTAGTTCTACTACTACCTCAATCGAAACACGACAGTTTCCCAAAGTGGCTTGCTTGTTCCTAGATGATCCTCAGATTGTGGGCTTTGTTGAACCAGCAAACCAATTGGTTTCTTGGATAGGGGAACCAATATCAATGACTGCTGTGATCTCCGTGGTTGGAATGGGAGGTTTGAGCAAGACAACACTTGTTAGGAAAGTGTACAGATTATTGAAGGGAAACTTTGAATGCCATGCTTGGGTTGCAGTGGGGCAATCATACAGAAAAACAGAGATCTTGAGGAGCTTGTTGTCCCAATTGTGCCAATCAATAAATTGGGGAACTCCAGAAGTTGAACAACAAATGATCCGTCCGAAT